CGATGACTTGTGGTGACTCATTCAGTACCAAACGTTGAAATCCAGATCGACATCCTAGCATAGCTGGAGCACCCTCTGTGCAAACACCACAAACCTTTCCCCAAGAGATCTGATGCTCTTTCAGAAATGAACCAACTGTGTCAAATACATCACGTGCAGTAGTTGTTGTTTCAAGAGGTTTGCAAACGAGAAATTCATCTTTAAAGTCGCCATCATTCATATCCCTCACGTAAACCAGTCACTGTGAACAGTTTGCAACGTCTGTAGATTCATCAAGCTGGATGCTAATTATTGGAAGTGGAGCAGATTTAATTTCCTGGATTATCTGATCAAGAATATCAGCAGACATGTCATCTGTTCTTCTGTGGACAGTGTCGTTAGGTAAGGAAATTGCATTCAATTTTGTAACAAATTCGTCTCCCATCATAACTCGAACAATGTCTTTGGCAACAGTAAATCCTCAGCAGTGGAGTGAGGTTTCATAACTCAGGTGATTCTGAGCACCACCAAATATGAAGCTTCCACGGCTGCTACGTTTTGTTTGTGGTACTTGCCACCAGTGTCCAGTCTGGCTTTCTTCATCAGTTTTGCTTCTAAAATAGTTGGGATCTTTGCTGGCAAAGCTTGGATGCTTGCTATCAAAATGGTGTTTTAGTTTCTTCGGCTTCATAGATTCGGCTGATAGAACTTCACAACAAATAACACATTATGTTTTCTCAATTCCTGCTGTAATTATTGAGGTAAAACTGTATTGTAAAAAAAATCTTCACTATATTTTATTTTCTTAACATTCTTCTCTACATGATCCATTGTCATGGAATGGTTTACTAGTGAAAATAATATATAACAATAGCTTTAATAATACAAAAGATGATCCATGGCATAGTTCAGTCAATACAGTTCATTAAAGTTTCCTATGATTTACCATTCTCTGGTGTATTTTTTACATATGTTACTATCCCAAGGGGGCAGTATTCACATCAACCACAGCTGAATATAAAAAGACTGATCAGTATCCAGATTAAGTTCCCATGGTACAGATAAATATATTTTTTGCAGTAGTTTATAATTTTGCAGTACATGTTTTATTTACCCAGGAATTATAATTCGTGAAGTGTCATTTTACCTCTGATACTGCTGCTCTCTACACAGTAGCTGCTCTCCACACATGTGTGGCTGGTCCACATAAGTACGTTATGGTGCCAACCCTGTCACATACTCCTGTATCTGTATGGGGTGTATGTGATGGGGTTGGTGCGATGCTGTCATCACACTGGGTACTCGTATGTGGGCATAGCTGAATGTGGGCAGACCCCCACGGAGACGGATAGAGGAGCAGTGTCTCCGTTCCTAAGACTATTGGAAATATGTGTTTTCTGATGGCCTTAGGTGATCCTTGTGAAAGGGTCATTCGACCCCCCCAAAGGGGTTGTGACCCACAGGTCGAGAACCGCTGCTCTAGGTGGAAGTCCTTGTATATTTTCCGTATCTGTGGGCCTGGTGTCCCTTGGAGGAGCCCTGGTGTCATAGTAATTACATGCTGTGCTGCTAACTGTAAGGTTGGCAGTTCAAAACCACCAGCTGCTCTGCAAGAGAAAGAGAGGCTTCTGACTCCCTTAAAGAGTTACGATCTTGGAAACCCACGGGGGCAGTTCTGCCCTGTCCTATAGGGCCCACACAAGTCGGCATGGACTTGATGGCAGTGAGTTTGTTTAATTTTTGGTATCCATTGGAGATTTTCATGTATCTTGGCCCCAATCTACCCCTGGGTCTAGGAGGTTCACAGCACAGGGGCCTTGGGTCCAAAGAATAGGGTCTGGCTCTTCCTTCCTGGTGGTAATAGGTCCCTTTGATCTCTGCCTTTTTATGTCTCAAAAGAGACTGACTCAAAATATAGTTTCCTTTTGTAGATTATATCCTTTCTCATTAACACGACTGCTTCTAATCCTGCCTTGTTAACATCATTCCATCTACACTGCCTTCAAATCAATTCGGACTCCGGTGACCCTGTATAGTGTTTCCAGACCATAAACCTTTCCATGAGCAGGCAGCCTCCTCTTCCTCCTGAGGACCAGCCATGGGTTTGGCCTGTAGACCTCCTCATCCAAGGCTCACCCAACAGCCCCACCAGAGTTCCTTCATTGACATCGAAGAGCAAGATTTAATGTATAGAATCATTACATCACTAACAAAGATAGAGGGTGATTACATACTACTGAAAATCATGGCCGCGCCAAGCTGACACATATTTGGGTGGGGGGGAGTGACACCCAAGTCAAGCCTTACAGGGAAGTGGAGGACACCTGAAGCTTGGTTTCCTGGATACTACCTGAAGGTCTCTAAGCTTCCCTTTGGCTTAGACTCATGTAACCTTTGTGTAGAATACAAAACTCTGCTTTCTCCATTGGCAAGGAGCTGGGGGAGGAGGTCTTCCCTCAGGGCTGGTTGTGGGCATGGTCTGCACATGCTCCTGCCCGGAAGCTTGCAGAGTGCACCTGTACTTGCTCCATCTGGGTGGGGGAGTGGTGGCGGTGGCGGGTGCATATGAAGCGTTTGGCTTAGACAAAATCTTGTCCTTTCGACAGCCTGCTGACCCAGGGACACCCCCGCTGTGGTGCGCACTTCCCCACCTTGCTCCACAAGGGAAGTAAGAGCCACAGCGTAGAGAACTGAAAGCCTCCAGTTCCTTCTGTGGGCTGTTGTTAAGCGAGAATTGAAGATTGTGGGTGCTGGGGGAGGCTGGGTTTTTCTCTCCCAGGTCAAGAGACCTGGGTGGGTCCAGGCCAGGTTCTATGTAGACTCCATCTCACGTGTGATGGTGGACAAATTCTCCTCCCTCTCTGGGCTTCAGTATCCCCATAGGAACCGAATGGAAGGTTCTAGATCAGCAGTTCTCAACCTGTGGGTCGAGACTGCTTTGGAGGTCAAACGACCCTTTCACAGGGGTCACCCGATTCATAACAGTAGCAAAATTACAGTTATGAAGTAGCAATGAAAATAATTTTATGGTTACCACAACCTGAGGAACTGTATTAAAGGGTCATGGCATTAGGAAGGTTGAGAACCACTGTTCTAGATGATGCCTAAGGGCCTGTCCCAATGGGCTAATTCTCACCCTTTGTGACTGGGAGATACTTGTCCCTAGGGCAGGGTGTGAGGGAACTTGTCCCTTTCCCTGATAAACCTGAGTGAGCACTGAGCCTGTTCAGATTCCAGTTTTCAATCAGAGCTGGGCAGCTTCCTTCATCTCCTGGGCCTCTAGTAGATTGTTATCTAAGCCAAACCCACCACCAGAGAGTGGATTCCAACCTTATAGGCTAGAGCAGAACTACTACTTGCATTTCTGGCCCTGGTGGCATAGTGGGTTCAGATGTGTTGGGCTACTAACCACAAGGTCAGCAGTTTGAGACCACCAGCACTCTGTGGGAGAAAGATGCGGCTTTCTACTCCTGAAAAGAACCCACTCAGTCCCAGTGAGTTTGGAAGGTTTCTGAGATTAAAGTTTTTATAGGAGCAGACAGCCTCATCTTTCTCCCTTGGTGTGGGGGAAGGCCAGCCCCCCACAATTAATCTCGGGTTCGATAGGTGCAATTGTATGGTATATATACTTATATATATATATATTCATAGAGAATAAGGAGAGATTGAAATAATGGAGTCAGACACATTTCATGGTAGCATGCTCCCCTCTGCTCCTCTTGGTGGTACAGGGCAGGAGAGAGAGGGAGGGGAAGGAGGACAAGGGGAGAGGGAACGGGAGCAAGGACTGAGGGAGAGAGGATGGGGGAGAGAGAGCTCTTTATTACTAACACATGTCACAGGAAAGGGTTGTACTATAGGTAATACAGTATTGAGAGGGGGACGATCTAGGAGTACACATGCAATAGGAAGGGGAGGGATTGGGGGCAGACCTGTGACAAGATGGGCGGATCCTAGATTCAGGATGGCAGCCTAACTTTGGATGTCACTGAGCAGGTTTGACCTGTTCTCTGGCTCTCCATGGAAACAGTTACTATCCTTATCAGTAGGGTGTGAGCCCCACCTACAGTGGACCAGACTGATGGCTGCAAGCCTTCAGGGAGACTATCTCTAAGCATCTGACCTCACACCATGTGCTGGCAAGCATCCTCTAATGTTTGGCATCTCTTTGGGGGAGACAAAGCTGGGAAGCCTTTTGCATCCCGCACCTTGGTGTGATCAGTGGGCTTGAACTGGGTGCTTTGGGTTAGCAGCCACCCCGTAACCACCGTACCACCAGGCTTCAGAATTTGGATCCAAATTCTCAGATCTAAGTTTCCCATCCTGCCTTCCTTCTCCAATAGCTGAGTCATGTCTGTTCTCGCCACATTTTACTCCTCACCCCGGTTCCTCCTCAGAAAGGTTGGACAGATCACCACAGACGCCCAGGGGAAGACTAAATAATATTGGAAAATGCTGTTTATGAGGGAAGTGAGTGTGTGTGTAGAACGTTCAGGGGAAAAACAGTGCACATGCTGACCTCAGTCGGCTAAATACTAAAAATACGATTTAGGAGACTGTGTGTGCCAGCTGGTGGGTGTGAATCCTACGAGGCAGCGTTCACTGCACTGAGTGGGTGGGTAAAGAAAGCCCCTCGGGAGCAGACTGCCGCAGCTTCAGCCCTAGACACCTGGTGGGTTTGAATCTCCCAAGTTGGACGACATTGTTCTTCTGGAATCTTGATTCGCTTGTGTAAAATGGTACCAGTAATAGGCAACAGCACATCACAAGAAAAACGCGAGGCTTAAAAGATCTTTAACTTCTTTGATAGCTAACATTTATTAGTAGCGTTGCTGCTCACGACCCCTCTCCGCGTCTTTCCCCTTGCCCCGCCCCTTTCCTGGCCCGGCCCCGCCCCTGTCCCGGGCCGGCCCCGCCCCTTCGCGCAGGCGCGCTGGGCGGTGCTGAGTCAGGCTGGGGGAGGAACCGGGCGGGTCCAGCCTGGGCGGAGCTTGCGCCTGCGCAGTGAGCAGCTTCGGGAGGGCAGGTTTATATCGGCGGAGGGTCAGCTGACGTTCTGCATTGCAGACTGCGGGTTCGCTTAGCGCCATGTACGCGCTCTTGGTTCTGGCCAGCCTCCTGGGCGTGGGTAAGCCCGGGGTCCCCCAGCTTGGGGAAGGGGAAAGGGGTCCCCGCCTCGGGGCGAACGCTGCCGGGCCTCAGCCTTCGGGCGGTTTCTCCAGCCCTGGGTCGCCAGCGGCGGGCAGTGCGCAGGCGCGCGCGCCGGCCCGTGCTCGCGGGGGGCCGTGTCGGGCGGGGTGGGGGGGGCTGCGGGAGCTGGCCGGCTGGCCACTCCTTACTTGAGGTGGGGGCGAGCGGCCGCGGCCGGTCAGGCCCGGAAAGTGGCCCCTCTCGCGGTCCCGGGTGGTGCCCGCGTTCCGGGGGCCGCCCCTGCGGCTGTTGGGGTGGGTCTTGGAGGGTGACCCCTCCGGCGGCTTTGTTTGCAGCTGGCAGCGCGTGACCCAGCCGGCCCGGGCCCTGGGCGGCCGGTCATGGACTCTTGGCCGGCTGCCCTCGCGGTGAAGGGTATTTTAGTTGCCGGAAGCACGTCGTTATCGTCTCTGTTGTTCGGTATTGCCCTCACCTTTGTAGCTGCTCCCAGTCCTCCGTCGGGAAGGGGCATGTGAGGTGTTGGGGTCCTGTAGAGTCCCCGTTTCGTCGCCTTTAAACTGCCCCGAACAGCCATTTCCTAGTGGCCCTTCATCTCGGGAGGCGAGACGCGCCTGAGAACGCCGCGTGCACCGAGCGCTTTAGACCCGTTCCGATGGCTGTGCAATTCTGTCAGCCGGAGCTCCCTTTGAGAGGAGCAGGTCCCCGTACCTCCGCCTTCTGGCCGAGTGCTTTCACGCACCGGTCCCCTTTCGTTTGTTTCTCCCGTCATCTCCTCATGGCGTCCTCCTCCTCATGCCCAAGGAGCGAGGTTGATTGACCATGGACATTGCAGCGCTGGATAGCTGTGGGGTCAGATTTTTACTCTCTCTGAGGCGAGGATCCCAAGGGTGGGTGTTTTGAGACAAAAGGTCTCTGTACCCCACTGAAGAGAAATAAGGCCCCACCCCACTAATTCCCGACCCTCTAATTCTCAATGCCCAGGTTCAAGTTTTCCTAGTTAGCTAGATGCGGGTTAGGGGTCCACTTCTGTGGTGCAGCTACCCATATTTTAATAAGCAGCAGCAGAAAATGGATGACAGGGGGTAGGAAAAAACCGAAGAACTACGCGGTAGCTAGTTATGACATGAAATACCTTAAGGAATGTTTTCTCTGTCAGTGACCCCCCCAGAATGGCTTGACCTTCTCCAGCTGAACTGTTAGCCTGGTTTTACTTGCTCTGCTCGGAAAGAAAGATGTTTTTTGGCGTCACACTCCTGGAGAAAATTAATTTTTGCCTGCCTGGGTTATTTCAAAGTTTGCATAGTAAACAAACATGTCTGTGGGTTTTCTATATGATTCAGCATATTTTTTCTCTTCTTTTTTTTACAGTTTTAGTTCATGCTGGCAGTGAGTCACTCCTCACAAGACTCTTGGAGTTTCGAATCACTCAAAACGGGACTAGATGGTCTCTTTGGAAATGTGCAGTCTGTGTCTGGCATGTGTGGGAGCGTTGTTAGCCAGAATATTAGTTAACCCGGCGACCTCTTGCCTGGGCACCTGAGTCAATGGGTGGCCATTATACACAGGAACTTCCAAAATATTCATGGGAAAATTCCATTATCTTTTAATTCTATTTTTCCACGAACTTTTCAAAGCCCTCTTGGAATGGCCTAATCTTAACATTGGCCCTTGGGATCCTGTAAGATGGTGATTACTTGCTGATTATGAATGAATGAATTCTCACTTGCCAGGTTGCTTTTTGGTAGCATAAATGTAATGATTCTTAATTACCTTGGTGCTGTGTCTGCTAATGAAAGTGGGAGATACTGCAGTCAGGGTCTATATCCAGGACACTGTAGGAGTTTGCTGGTTCAATTTGACCTTCCAGGGGTGTCCTTCTATATCGGCCAGAGCCTCTGTGTTGTTGGTGTTGTAGGGATGTATGTCCTGGTGGTAAGGTGTCTTGCTTTTTCAGTTACACACAGTCCCCAACTCAGGGTAAGGCTCTGTTCTGATGGCTTTACTCTAGCTCAGTTCTGCTGTGTAAGTCAAATACCTCTTTTCTGCCATAAGTCGAACACCTCTCTGTTTTCCAAGTTTTTGTAATTGCTGCCTTTGATTCTCGATGTCAGTAAATCATAACATTGCACATAAGCAAATGACAACAGAATTTCATGTATTGCAGCATGGTATAGAGACATATTACAAGCATACCCAAACCAAAAACACCCTAAGCCTCCTGCCTTCCCCATGATTTGGACTCTCAGCAGCCTTGTGTGGGTTTCAGAGGCTGTAACTTTGAACCCCACTGACTGACCTTCAGGTGCACAGTGCGGCTGCTTCTGAGACAGTGCCACTCAAACAGGTTGTTTAAGAAAACTCGTAGGGGGAGAAATCCAGAAACCAAGCTCCTTGCCATCAAGTTGATGCCGACCCTGTAGGACAAGGTAGAACTGTTCCTCTGACTTTCTGAGACTGTAACTTGACAGGCTGATGGCTCTGAACTGCTGACCTTGTAGTTAGCAGCTAACGTGTGCCTGATACACTACCAGGGCTCCTGGACTTTTCTGTCCTTCCCAGTCATCTCTGCTCAGAAAGATTGTGAAATGCTGGTAAAGTGAGAATTCTTCTCCTTTAAAGATTGAAGACACCGAGGCACCAGAGGTCGCCTTTCCAAATCACCAGCTGTTTAGCAGGGAAGCCAGACGTCAGACAGTGCTTGCTCAGCTCACATGGGCCTATTGATTTTTAAAAAAGACTCAATGGCTTTTGATTTCCTTGGAGGAAACCAGGCAGGTTTTAAATGTGCAGCTTAGTGAATGATTGCAGAGTGATCATCTTAAGTAACCAGCCCCCAGGCCAAGGCGTTGAGTATTACCTGAACCCAGAAGTCCCCTTTAGGATGTCACACTCCTCACATGGTCTCACGTGCCCCAAAGGACACCACGTTGCTAACTTGTGCCCCTGCGATGTTTGCTGTGTGTGTGTTTCTGTGTGTGTGTGTGTGTGTGTGTGTATGGAATGAATGGTTCCTCTGGGAAAAGGTGAAGCTCATGTTCATGAGTTCACATGGGTAAGCACCTGGCTTGTGACCTAGAGCTTAGCTGCCTGGGCTGTTCTTGGTGGAGTGGTCAACCAGCTGGCTGGTGCTTTCCCTGCCCAGAGCCAGGGAGGCTTCGAATGCATAAGGTTGATGGTTGGTTTGTCTACACCTATTTAATGAGGGTCAGTTAAAAAGAATGTGGCCAGTAGTGTTCCAGTTCTTACTTGCATGGGCTGTCTCTGCGGACAAGCCCTCTCAGTAACACATTAGTCTGATTATTTTATTTTGTATTTTGTTTTTTAAAATCATTTTATTGGGGCTCATGCAGCTGTTCTCACAATCCATCCATCCATCCATTGTGTCGAGCACATTTGTACATTTGTTGCCATCGTCATTCTCAAAACATTTGCTTTCTACTTGAACCCTTGGTATCAGCTCCGCATTTTTTTCTCCTCCTTCCCTCCCCTCCCCTCTCTCCCTCACGAGCCCTTGATAATTTATAAATTATGAACACAGTACATGTGTTAATGGGGGGCCGTGGCTTCCCCCCAAAAGGTCCAATCAAGAACTGATTTCTGAGGGGATTTGCTGGGCCAGTTAAGTTCAAGGTATGGCGACTGCCTTTTGGGACCCAAAGCGGTGATTTTGATAAGATTTTCTTGAAGGACGTAGGTTGACCACAGAGCTGGATAAAGGTTTGAGAAACTTCGAAAACTGCATTGGTGAGAAAAAGACCAGAAAGTTGTGTTCAGGGATTTTTATTTTTAATGCCACCTGCTAATTTTGTAAGGGTAGCAATAGAGGATTTCATTGGAAAGTCTTACCCCATCTGCCCTACAGCAGACTCCTGCCCCAAACTCAAAGAACATTGGGGAAGGAGCATTATTTGAGTGCCCTGATTATGCGAAGCCTGCTGCTTTGTGGTGATGTAGATCAGTGTAGAATCCTTTTAGGGAAGGGTGAGATGAGACACCACCTCTGGCTTTCTGCAGTGTGAATAAATAACTAGATGGAGAAAATGGCAAGAAGCTGTGGCTTCATCTATTGATACTTTTGCTTAATAAAGGTTTCTGTGATTTTTGTAGCAGTCATAGCAACAGATCTCACCTGCCAGGAATTTTGGAAAAATCAATGGTTATCATTAGCAAAACACTTTTATTCTGTGCAAAAAGGTGAGTCTATTTCCTGAAGGGTTTATTTGTATCAGCCAGCCAATAATTTGGCTAATGCTTGGCTCTGTGAGTTGAAGTCCACTCGATGGCCGTGGGTTGGGGTTTGTTCTTAATTGCGTTGAACAGGTTGAGCCTGCCCTGGGTGTTGGATTGAGAGGCATGGCTGTTTCTGTGTCGGGGAAGGAAGGGAGACCTTGGTGTGTGGAACTGGAATGGCCAGGCTGGGGCCTGAGCGGAAGGGGGAGAGGGGGGTGTTGCTAATTGGGGCAGCTAGTGAGCGAGGGCTGGGAGGTTCTGAAGGCCAAGCTGTGTGAAGCTGCCCTCCATCCAGGACTTTCTAGATTCTCAACCTAGGGTGCCTTCTGTTTGGCTCTGCCCCCGGGAAGGAAGGTCTAGAAGACCTCTCCGTACTCAAAACTGATGGCGTTGCCCCGTGTGCCCTCTGAAATACACGTAGACTAGTTAAACAACCGTACACAGTGATCAGGGGGAGGCAGCTTGGGACCGAGGTGGGCCTGTGGGATGAAGGTTTCCCTCTGTCCCACATCTCTCGCTTGCTCGGTGACCCTGGTCCATTCCCTTGTTAAGTAACTTGTTTTCCAAGCCCTGTGCTTCCTCGTGTGTAAAATGGATCTGATACTGTGTCACCAGGAGCTTCTGATAAAAAAGTTACCGTGTGAAAGGGCTCTGCTTTGCTACCACGTCACTAATAAAAACAAGTTATTTGTCAATGTTCTTGGCTGGCTAGCACAGTGACCCTTCTTTGCCCTTGATTTTTGTGAT